ACCCGGTTAGAGAGCCTGATCGTCCTGTTGTGCCTTGGAGCCCAGTCTAGAGCACTCGCTGGCAGTCGCACAGCGACATGTTATGTATGATGATCATATTCCGGATCCCAACCGACAAAGAAACAGGTCCGTAGCTCAATTGTAAATTGTTCCATTCTATGACAAAGGGTCGCGGGTTCGAATCTCGGGTGATCCGCACCTGGGATTAGGTATGCCTGACCGATGACGGCTAAGAAGCCAGAAATAGCCATTCCACCTATGAAGTCTTCGGCATGAGCACGGTGACCGTTGGTGCTCTGCACCCTACACTAATCTATAAGCCCTCCCCCCCAATGCCCGACTGAACATTCCCAAGTAGCCTTCTAAAAGACTACAGATACCCAAGAAAGCATATGCCAGTTAACTGATCTCATTATGATAACAATGCCTGTCAAATCTAAGGTTTGCGAACACGCTCCAAGTCCTTGACGAGAAACTGTGAGCCTTTGAGTGCTTGAGACATACTCTTTGCAGCCTCGGTACCGCTTGAAGTTTTCATTGTTGTTAAAGCCTTCTTCTCGTTATTTCTCTTCAGGGTCTTTGTCGAGGACGCCTCGTGCGGGACGTGTCGATGGATGATGTATGCAAAATAAACGACGAAGACTCCACGTGATCTAACTGCCTCAGAACCCTTGTAAATAGCGGCAGTCTTTGTACATTTTCCCTACCTGCCTGTCTACTGTTTGAGTGAACGACTAATTCTGATCTGTTGAACCCGTCTCTCTTACTGCATCAGAATAATATCTTTACTTAATTTTTGTTCTTGTTAGCAACATGCTCAGGACCCAGCTGACCCCCCCCCTCCTAGGGTGTTCTCTGACCAACATTTTGCGTCGCCTGGTTGGAAATTGTATAAGGACCACACAGTTGTTCAAGAATAATGCTCATTACACGCGCACAAGATAGCTGTGTGGCTAGCCTGTGTAAAAAAATAGTCTCGAAGTACTCAAACGTTCTTCAGAGTTAGAACCACACAAAAAAATATTAAAAATATGTACATCGAGGCAAAAAAGGATTGAGAGAGGACGCGGTGGACGCAGGTCAAAAAGAAAAAAAACTAGATGGCGCAAGTCATGAGGGGCAAAAGAAGTCAGGCTCTAGAATGAGGCGCAAGTATGAGTAGACATCAGAGTCAAAGTTAGTCAGGGGTTACGAGCGGATGGGCGGTTTTTGGGCGTCAGCTTTTCGAGACCTCGATCAAGGAATGGGTGAGAGTTGAATGGGGCGTATCCGTCGGTGGTGTTCCATATCCCATATCATGTTGGCGAGGCAGATCCTTCTCCTCACTATCCTCGTCCTCCGTATCAGGTGTGACTGCTCCTTCATCAGCACCCTTAAGGGAAGTTGAAGCGGTTGGATTCGTGAGGGCCGCCTGAGGGCTCTCGGCGCGTC